CCCCCCCCCCCCCCCCCCCCCCCCCCCCCCCCCCCCCCCCCCCCCCCCCCCCCCCCCCCCCCCCCCCCCCCCCCCCCCCCCCCCCCCATCCCCAAAAAAAATTTTTTTTTTTTTTTTTTTTTTCCTTTTGCCCCTGAAAAACTGTTTTTTTTTTAACTTCAAATTACCCCAAATTTTATATAAACTTTTTACCCCCCCCCCTTTTCCCCCCCCCCCCCCTGAGGAAAAAAAAAAACCCCCCTGAAAAAAAAAAAAAAAAAAAAAAAAAAAAAAAAAAAGGGGGGGAAAAAAAAAAAAAAGGGAAACCCAAAAAAAAAGAGAAAGGCAAGAGGAGAGGGGGGAAAAGGGAAAAAAAACCCCGAAAACCTTTTTTTTTTCCTCCCCCCTTTTTCCCCTTTTTTAACCCCAACAATTTTAAAATTCCCCGAATAAAAAAAAGGTTTAAAAAAGCCCCCAAATTGTTTTTAAAAGCAAAAAAAAGGAACCCCCGGTTCCCCGTCCCCCTTGCCCGGGGAAACAAAAACCCCCAAAAACCCAAAAACCCCCCCCAAACCCCCCCCCCAAAAAAGGGGGGAGAAAAAGGGGGGGGAAAAAAAGGGGGAAAAGGGGAAAAAGGGAGTCCCCCCCCCCCGGGTTGAGAGAGAGAGAAGAGGAGGGGACCGGTGGAAGGAGGGAGGAGTCGAGAAGAGTGGGAGAGAGAGAGAGAGAGAGAGAGAGACTCCTGTGGAGGAGGAGAGAGAGAGAGAGAGACAGATAGGAGAGCGACAGAAGGAAAGAGAGACAGAGAGAACAGAGAGAGACGAGAGAGGAGAAAAGAGAGAGAGAGAGAGGAAGAGAGAGAGAGAGACAGAGAGAGAGAAAAGAGAGAGAGAGAAGAAGAGAGAGAGAAAAGCAGAGAGAGAGACAAGAAAAAAAAAAAAATTATGTATGCACTCACTAACTGTAATTCCCTGGATAAGAGCTTCTGCTAAATGTCTAAAATGTAAATGTAATGTATCTGTCTGCCTGTCTGTCTGTCTGTCTGTCTGTCTGTCTCGGTGTTCTTCATCACAGGCTTGCTCTAGCTCTGGGTATTACTGATTTAATTTACCAACTATTATAAGCGTCTTTCCTCATCTAGTCGAGGGACCAGCTCTGGAGTGGACTCAGTGAGTTCGCGACGTGGCCTGATAGTGAGGCCTACGCCACCCAGAGTGAGTGTGGACCCGGACCTCAGCCCACATCACCAGCCGACACCCCCAACCCCAAGGTAAGACAACCAACGCAACACGCATGCACACACACACACACCCATACACACGCCACACCTCACGCACACTACACACACACACACACACACCCTAACCGCAGACGCTACCGCTAATATCCCACTACATCAACATCCAAACCCACAGTACACACAAGTCATGACCCTGTGTCCAATACTCATACTAAACCACACTAACATACTATTGTGACTTAAATAGATAGTAGTATGCTTATTGGTCATAGTATGGATATAGTTAGTATGCCAAAAGTTCCCGATGTCGTACTACATTGGGCCAAATACGAAGTATATAAGCAGAGGACACAATTTCCCGTTGCTTTCGGGACCATAATGCAATTCTTCAAGAAAGGACTTGCTTCTTCAACAGTTTTCAGATTTGAGAAAATGCGGAAAATATGCAGCTGAAGTCCGACGAGCGAAACAGAATTCATTGCTTTAACTAATTATGACAATGTTAAGAAAATGTTGAATAATGTAATAAAGTAATAAACTTTTCAAATAAGTTTACATGTTATGTTGTCTGATAATTGTTAGCTACGCTATCCTACGAACCACAAGCATTACAGCAGTATGTGTACCGGTATGTTAGCTAGCTAAGTTACCTAACGTTACTTGGCTACTATATGCTATCTAACTAACTACCCAACGTTTATTGACTTGATTATTCACGTCATTCTTAGCTTAGCTAAGTGGTATAGTTCCTTGTGCGTTCTCAATTGACATTGTTATTTGGGTGCGTTCGTAAATTCGCTCTGGCTATCTACCTCTACTCACGATTTCAGAGCACTCTCGTCTGAGTGTGCCAGAGCGCAGAATAACTGATTCATTTAACGAATGCTCAACCCCCGTTGAATATGACCGGTGTCAGTAAACTTCGGCAAAAAAACGTAATTAAATTGTTGCCAGCACTGTTACAATCACCAACGCTCTGGATGACATGAAAACAGCCTAACCAGCTCTGCTAGGGCGAGTAAAATGGTCAGTGAGGTCTCTCATTTGTATTGGAAGTAGCTAGCCAGTTAGCTTGGTGCTTGACTGCCGTTGTGAGGTCAGAACGCTCCGATCAACCCTACCCCCTCGGCCAAGCATCCAGTGACACTGCCTTACAAACAATCTGACAACGCACTCTGAGCGCACTCTGGCACTCCAGATTGAATTTATAACACACCCGAAGTCGTAAAATGTCTAGTTAGTAATTTGTTATGCTAACAGCTACAACAGGTTGCATAGCAACAGTATCAATTTCCGGTAGACAGGCGAAGCGCTAGTACGCTCACTGAAAGGATACAGTTCGTTTACAGTATACTAAAATGAACTAATAGTATATAGTATGTAGTAATATACTCATTAGTATGTAGTATACATATGCCATGTACAACAATTATTAAATAATGGTGGACTACCATGGTAAGTCTTTAGGACCCTTTCTAGTTGCTTTGCCAACATTTAGTGGACACCCCCATGGGTTTCTGAACCTGTTTGAAACCCCTTCTGTTTTGGTTTGGTCTGTTCTGGTCTGTTTTGGTCTGTTTTGGTCTTGTCTGTTCTGGTCTGTTCTGTTTTGGTCTGTTTTCTGTTGGTCTTGGTTTGGTTTGGTCTCGGTTCTTCGGTCTGTTCTGGTGTCTGGTCTTTTGTTCTGGGGTGGTTCTGTTCCTGTCTGTTGCTGTCTGGTGTCTGTTTGTTCTGGTCGTTTGGTATGTTTTGGGGGTTTTGGGCTGGTCTGTTTTGGTTTGGTTGTCAAAGTAACTCCTTTTTTAGTAACTTTTCGTTGAGCGACGACATTAGGGAACGTAAGGTATTTTTTTAAAGCTGTGAAATAGATTATGTGACGATTGTGGCGGAAACCTTTATGCGCAATGTTTATAAAAACCATAACTGCAAAGAATGCTTGGTAGGCTACACAATGACATGGATGTTGTGTAGCCTCCACTATCATGACATGAGTTGTTGTAGCCTACCCTATCTGACATGAGTGCTGAAGCCTACCACATATCATGACATTGACTGAGTTGTGTAGCCACCCTATCATACAGGAGTTTTGTTGTAGC